CTTAATTTAACTTTATTTATAAATGGCGATGTTAAATGTTACATCCTACCTATGTAATTCAGAGTGCTCTTTTGTCGCAGAATGTTTGAAACCTGAAATTTAATGTACCAAAAATATCTCTATACACAACATTTCATTTGTTCCGTTGCAGAGTCAGTTTGTCGTCGATGAAGTAAGCACTATAATTAAGGAAGCTGTCGAGAGTACTATTGGTGGAAACTCATATCAACATGCCAAAGTCAATCAATGGACGTCATCTATTGTAGAAACTCTTCTCGGAACACTTACCAAGCAACAGAAACCTTTTAAATATATTGGCAAGTTTGATTCTCTTCTTCTCAATGCATCTTCAATTTATATAGATTACCTTGGAAATCATTAACCCAAAAACTGTTATTCTTGTGTTTACAGTAACGTGTACTATAATGCAGAAAAATGGAGCAGGTCTTCACACTGCTTCATCTTGTTACTGGGACAACACATCAGATGGCAGCTGCACTGTGCGCTGGGAAAACAAAAGCATGTATTGTATTGTTTCAGTTTTTGGTTTGGCCATTTAATTTGAAGATTTTAGAGAGACATTCCATTATCCATGTTAATTATGTTTGAGGCCAGTGCTCTTAAATTTGGAAGCTCAAATGTAGCTATTTCAAATTATAGTTGATTTTAACTCTTTATTAAATCAAATGATAGTTTCCCACTGGCTATAATCTCTCTTGTGTGGTAAAGTGCAATATTTTTAGACACTATTTTAAAAATTAATTGTATATCAAATTTGCACTAAACTTTCCTAGCGTTTCAACTAATTCCGATTATTTATTACCATCAGCATCATTGACTAGTATTTGTGATAAACAAACATTGTACAGTCGATTTCAGTTAGTACGATCCTGTTGGGACTGAAGGCCCAAACCGCTGTAGGGAAATCGCAATTTCAGATTGTATTTAAAGCATACAAATGCAATGGGTCCACAGGAATAAAACATAATAACGGGTTAATCTTTGTTTTTAGGGCTCGTATGAACGAATATTGAATGTAATACCTAATTGCTATTGGACAAAAGATAACATTTAAGAATGGTTTCCTTCCTTATTTATTTATTTATTAAATTTTATATAATACAGCTTAATAATGCATTCTATAAGGAGTAACATGGAAACAAGATGTAAAATAAATAACTTAAGAATGATCACTACTGTGCCTTTACCTACTTATGTTTTAGTTCTGTTAACATTTCTCATTGCAAAGAAATACCAATTACTGTAATTAAAACTTAGGCACAAGAATTGTAATATAATTATCTTGTGAACTGTTCTATAATTACACATACGCCATCCAACCTATGTACATTTGGCACAAATTGTCAACACTCACAGCCTCTTGGATGAGAAAATGTGCTTGTCCTTCTACAGACAATTGTAGAGCATTTTTATTCGATCCAATTTTTACCATTCCAGCAAGCCGCTGGATGATTTTCTGTACATTTTCCACTGCCTGCAAAATCATTAAAAGTATAAGGTTAGTGCACTGCATTATCAATTTCGGCTGCTCATATGTACGATTATTAAGTCTTACTAAGTCATTGGTTAATTCTTCTTGCGCCTTTTTAAGATCCACTTTTGGATCATACACAAAAGGTTGAAGTACAGATAATAATGTCTCCTGCAATTCCCTTAACACCCGAAGAGTAATTTCACAAGCTGTACGAAATGGGCCTTCAACACCTGTGGGTCCCATGGCTGACACCATGTTATGAGTCAGTCTGAATGGAACCCGCTCTGGCCATTCAAAGCGTTCACCCTAAAGAGAACAAATGGTTATCAGATCAGGCATAAACTACAAGGAAAGATATTGCAATATATCATCTTACCCTGTTGAACAAACAGTTGAAGTCAACATGAACTGCATCTCCACAAGTTGTATCGAAGAGAATGTTTTCTCCATGACGGTCACCTAGCCCAAGGATATAACCTACCATACTCATGACAGCTGTAGTGTGCACATATGACTTTCTTGCTTCAAACCTTCCAGAAAAAGATTCAGGTTAATTTACTTTGACAAATTTGGATTACAGATTTTTAATACTTTCAAAGAATGTGTGAATGTTTTTATTACCAACTACGGCTATCGGTGAAATTGTTCCTAAACCAATCTTGGAATACAGGTGGATGAAGAGGCAACAGTCGCTTTAAAAATACATCTCTCTTTTCCTGAAGTGTAGAATCCTTTTCTGAAAATGTTTAACAGAACATAAATTCTTAATCCACAAAACTAGTGAAAAATTCCAGAAACTTTTGTAAGTAATAAAGGTCTAACCAACTGCATATTTTTTTATTTCACGATTTGTATTGGTAATACCCATATCCGCGTGAAGTTGTGAGACTATTGGTCTAAAACCAATCAAATTCGGCACCCACTCAATAAGACCACTATCTTCATTAAGGGGAACAACACTCTGCAAGAAAAATGTTATTTGCTTTTCAAAAGAGATTAAAACAAAATACATTTAATAAGAACAGACCATACATATGTGCGAATATGGAGATGGCGAGAGCGTGAAGCTGGATCTTTCTGCAGATATTTATTGATAATGCTGTTAAATTCCATAACTCTTGCATCCAATCTTAAATCATCCTGTAAACAAAAATAATTTAAAAATGAAACAAAGAAAAAAGGGAACAAAACAACATGGTCCCAATTTTAGGTTGTGAAAAACATTCTATGATTATAATTTTATCATTTACCTTATCTTTACACATCATCTCATAGTCTTTTCCATCTGATCCAATGAGTGTAATTTTTCTTGGTCTTTGCAAAGAGGAGAGGATAGTAACCTTTTCATGAATTCCAGCTATGTAAGGTACTTTTCTGAATAAAAATAAAGAAAACAAATGTGGAGGGACAGTAGGTAAAGGGAAAATACTTTAAAAAAATAACGATCTCAATAAAGTACTCACAAAGGAAATGGTAGATGAATGGTCAGAGAATTTCGTTCTTGTTGAGGTAGTGTGAGAGTGCGTGTGGTTTGTAAGGGAACCATGATTTTACTGAATGAAGGTTGGGCTAATAGTGTTGGTAAATTCTCGGCTAACAAACTTACAGAAGTTGAATGAACATTCTATAACAAAAAAAATTCAGTTATTATCTACGAAGGTGTCGGCTTAGTTGCATACAACATCACAAACACTATGTCAGGTGAAAATGCAATGCACCTTTAGAACTGTCTTTGTGCATAGTTCAGTTAACTGCTGACCCAATTTCTGAAAGTCTGATGTCAACCGAAGCATATTAGGAACACGCTTGATTTGTGGATCCTCCAAAATACCTTTGCATCGAACTTGCCTCAAGGCATATGTTGACTGGAAAACAAAAAAAGTATGTAAAAATATGATATTAAGAGAACAAAAATTCAGATGAATGTGACTTACTCACCCTATGCATGGCAACTAAAATCCACATTGTCTGCTGAGGGTAGCAGAGCACAAGCTTCACTATTATTGCTTGAATTACTCTGTACACATCAGCTACTGGATGGCATATACGAGACGCAAGTTGTGAAAATCCTGTCATAAACATATATGAAGGAAGAATATCTATATGTTGTTCTGAAAACAGAATGTATATTTTAATTTGGGAATTAAAGATAGATTTACCTGTAATAAACAATAGGAGCAATAAACAAAATGCGATTACATACTTATGAACTTATTCATTTCATCCAAGTGAGTTTTCCTACGACTTAGTTCACTTGATGGTGCCTTGGATTTCAAAGCAATGTGATAACTTTTTCCAAAGTCTAACCATAAAGTCAACAACCTTGACATACTGTGATAAATTAAACTACAGCCAAATCTTAAAGATTTGGTGTACGAAACGACTGCCCACTTCTGAAATTCACTACAAATAAAAAAGTAAAAATAGTTACATAATTTTCCTTGCAGTGTCTTAATATTGAGCGATAAAAAGCAGGTACTTACCACTTCTGTAAGTTAAAGTCATTTGGATCTCTTGAATGCGAGAACAAACGATCATAATACTGAGCTAAGGAAGCTTGACTGTGTTCCCACTGTTGATAGCAGTCAACAGCATCCTTATAATTGGATACATTAGCATCACAGTCAACATTTAAACTTTGATCATTGTATTTTGCAATAAGAAGTTTTGCCTGGAATGGAAAGTATTTTGTGTGTCAGCAAAAAGACGCTAGAGACTTTTTCTGTTAGTAAATCATAACTTAAAAAAAAATTTGGTCCAATTTTACCTCAGCACATATTTTTCTCTCTTCAACCATATCACCAGGAGCAACGCTTTTGAACCATTTGCTGTTCGGAAAGTGTTCATCTAGACCACGACGCAGAGTTCCTAAGGCATGGTCTTGTTCGTTTTTGAACCAGTACAATTTTGCTAACTCAATAAAGTGTACTTTTGGCTTGTATTTCTCAGCATTCAGAAGGTAGCTATAGGCTTGTTGGTAACGATTGGATCTGAAAATAAACAAATTAGAATTAGAGATTCTGATTCAATAGGGGATGTATCGTATATAGAGCCGAATGCCCAACTTACACACGGGCAACCTCTGCACTCTTCAGCCAGCTTGAAGCTAATTCCTGATGCAGCAGTTCCAAAAGGGAAAATTGGCTTGTTTTAACAAAAGTACAAGCTAGCTGCAATAAATTACGGCGCAATCGCAGTAAAGGCTCCTGAACAGATGAATCTGCTTGAACCAATTCCAAACGATCCTTCCAAATACTGACAAGATTTTTGACAACTTCCAAGCAAAACTGCTCAGAACTATCAGTTGACTGTATTGTTGCAATTACTTTGGAAGCTTCCTCAAGTTCTTGTAGCATGTGAAGTCTGCAAAAAGTAATTGTTAAGACACAAAAGAAGAGAAATGGTTCAATCAACAAATTTAGATTAGAATGAAAAATAAATTTTAGTTTTAGCAGACATTACTTGATGACATAAGGATATCCCTGTAAATAGCTTCCAGTCTCCAAACTAGTAGTACTCAATGCTTTGCTGAGAAAACTTCTGGTTGAGCAAAGGTGTTGCTTAAACGATGATTCATTTCCATGTTTCACATTTAGAAAACATCTACCAATACTAACTCCCCAAGCTGTTGAATTCTCAAGTTGACGGTCTTTCAGGACAGTTTCCAAATGATCAAAGCTGTTCATTCTCCAGAAGCATTCAGCTTGAGCTTCCAGAAAAGCACTCCGACGCTCTTGACTTTATGATTTATCACATAAAGGTTAATATAATAATTATAGGGTATGATATGACATTGTTTTAAAAAATGACTTACTTCTGTGAAGTTGCCCCTTGAGCAATATGCAAGGCTGCATACGGTTGATCCATACTTAAGTGGCATCTAATCATACCTATTTGAGCATCAACAGTATGTTGCTCTGCAAGTAATTCATAGCAAGCAAGGGCTTCCTTGAAAAGGAAAATAAAAGTTTTTTAATA